CCCCCCCCCCCCCATAGCCCCGGAACAGAACGCAATCAGATTGGAAATCATTAGGGCTGAAGCTGAAGCAGGGCGAGCTTGGAGCGGAGGGGGCAGCGCCAGCGCCTCCACCGCGCCGATGCCGCGCGCCGCTATTTTCTTTTTTCCCTCCGGCCAGACGCGTAGAGAAGATCTCCCCAGCGGAAACTGGCCGCACAATAACAGAACTGAGGAAAGTAAGTTGGCGACGGTATAGTGTCGTGGCCGGCGGCGGCGGCAGCAGCAGCAGCGATGTCTCCACCTTGGGTTTCCGCTGTGCTCAGCAGCAGTCCAGTAGGCCCGGGAAACACACCACCCGCCTCCCTCCCCCTCCCCCTCTTTTCTATGCTCTCGGCTCCCGCCCCCTTTTCAGACCACTTGGTATACTGGCGAGCCCAACGCGAGGCTATTACCGCATCCGGCAACCCCCTCCCTCCCCTCCCCTCCGCCATTTCTGCCCTTGTGGACTTACCCGGGCTCGTTTACACACGTCGTCGTCTGTATATTTGCAACAGCAGAAGCAGAAGCAGAAACCCTGTTTTGTACAACTTACGTTGGTTACAAAAATAGAAATAACTGCTCGACAGCATGTTTTTCGATTCCTGAAATTGTTAGGCGTCCGCGTGTTTTATGACTGAAGATGGAAATTTTAGAACTGCACCCACCGCACCGTTACGATTTAAACCACCAAGCCGTGAGCTATTCGAACAACCAGACCTGTCCGCCAAGTTTCGCCAGCCAGGTCCACTTCTCCACTTTGCTTTTTAGGAATCATTTTGCAATAACTCAGGACATCAATTCTCAGTTCAGGATCAAAATGGTACTTATACAAGTACGGTCGTAACTTAGCAGGTTATTTAAAAAAGGAAAAACAATTCAGTGTGCGTCGTTTAACAGGGCAAAGTATTTGGAACTCCGTTCCCCTTGATGTGTGAGACTCCCTTTTTTTTAAAAAAAAAAAACGTGCACTGCGGTCTTCACTCTGAGCGGATGGCTGACTCCACGTGAAAATGCGGGTAGAACATCAGCTTCCCTTTGCTCGGCGCCACCGCTGTTATCGAATTGTCTGCACCCCCCACCTCCTACCCCTCGGCCGAATAGCTCCAGGCTGTAATGATGCATGCACTCTATCGGACCTCCAGTCCGAGGTCCACCCGCCACGCCCCTCTACGCCCCTCTGGTCTGCGGACACACGCTGGCGCCTTAACGGTACATTTACTTCCCAGACCCCAGCTCTCATTTCCTACCCTCCCTCAACCATCACCCCCTCCCCTTGCACGTCCCCCATTCACCTTTCCTCTCCACCCCTTCGCTAGATCTTTTGGCGTCCTTCACGAGAGGGTGAGAGGAAGAGGGGGAGAGGGGGGGAGGGGCAGAGCGAGGGAGGAGGAGCACGCAAGCGACGCAAGGACATGTGTTTAGCTGATCTCGTGAGGATTCCCTCTTAATGGCGTCGGTGACCTCTGTTAGGAGATAGAGGGAAAAGAGGGGAGGGGTAGAACGCTGAAGAAAAGTATACTGTCTTTAGTATCCTGGGTCCTCAGAGCAGAATTTCAACACGAATACAACAATGATTAACTGTTCCAAAAAAGATGACAAACTAGAAATATGGACGGGAAAATATACGTGCGTTGTTAAAGTTTTGATCTTTGAACATGTTCACTGACCTTTCTCTTCCGGCAGCGCAGTGGTTCCGGGTTTCAAGAGGAGGGGGGGTGGAGGGGCACGGGGCACTCGATTGAATGAGGTCTGCCGCCGCTCTGTTTGCGGCGTGGAGAGACCTTTGGCTCGCCCCGCCCTTTGGCGCCCGGCCCCGCCCGCGATGCCTTGTCGGTCGGGTCGTGGCCGCCCCGCCCCACCCCGGCCCGCTGCGCCGCAGCCGGGATGTGTTGTGCCGACACGGGGCGCGAGCTTTGTCTTTTTGGCCCATTATATCTGAGCAGCGGCCTGTGAAGTCCTCGCAGAGTAATGGCGTGTCAAACGGAATGGGGCTCAAGTGAACGGTGGTGGGGCCCCCAGCCCGGGGCCTCCAGCCGTGCATATGTGCCGCGCGCACCGGCAGTGGCCCTCGAGCGGGACGGGAGGTGCGCCGAGCAGCACTCGAGGCCCGAACGATCCCGCGCCGCCCCACCCCAACCACACTCAGAAAGCCTAGTTCACACAAAACGATAACAATAGTAAAAAGGTTCTAGCTCTGCGTGCAACCCTCATCCCTGCTACTGTTTGTTACTGGTATTTACTAAGAAATAAATCAGTACAGGTCTGAGAGTGAGGAGAACATTTCGGCCTTGCACTGTCAGTGAACTAAAATCCTAATGCACCCCCAAAAAACTGAGTTCTTGGACCAAGTACACTATTGCACTTGATTTTTCAAATGCATAAATCTTTATTCAAGTTACACGTTTTTGAATAATCAAGGATCAATACAATGTGCTTGGTCCAAGAACTCAGGTTTTTGGGTGTGGTTTTGAGATGAAAAACATTAACGTCACGAAAAATATACTAAATTCACGAACAGTTCGATAACACGGTACCGTGTCCTAGAAAACTCTGCGACGGGTACGGGCATATCCCCCCCAACCCCTGAGTACCACTCACATGACGGCCACTTTAGCACCACCCCGCTAGCTCTCCGGTCCCCGGAGAGGTGGGTATGGGGGCGCCACCACTGGACGCACATTACCACACCAATCGAAACCGAACCGTAGCCGCCGCAGCAGCAGTAGCAGCAGCAGCCCCACGGATCACGCGAGTGCCTTCTGCGGCCGGCTGGCTGGCGACGCCCGGAGAATGCCTGGTAATAGAGGCGGTCATCGAGGAGGGAGGGTCCGAACAAGATGCGCAGACATGTGGAGTGTTGTGGAGTGGACGAACCAGGTCCAGGATCTCTCTCACAAACATTCAGACAGACAGACAGACAGACAGACAGAGGGTGCAGACTTTTCGCCCGGTCGACCTTGACGGGGCACTGCAGCGCGGAGGGCTCAGGATCAACCGGCCGCCCGCGTCCCCCCTCGGCCCTCGCCCCTTCCTACCCTTGCCCCTCATGCGGGGGGCTTAACTCGTATTTCTACAAACTTACTCCAACCGGCGCATGGCGGCAGCAGCAGCAGCAGCAGCAACAGCACGAGACCAAAGCAGAGGGCGCCCGGCGGAACTCCACGTTATGTTTGTCTGCTTGTACACAGAGCGCGGAAACACCGCACCAACCGCGTCTGCCAACTAATGATGAGAATAATATTTGGGTGGTCAGCTCTCGCAATGGATCAAAATGCTGCTTCACTGCTCCGGCCGCGTCGGACTGCGTGAACAGGCCGCTGCGCCGCGCCGCGCGCAGAGCCGCGCAGAGTCGGTAACTAACTTTCCACTTTCCGGTAAACTCTCCGGTAAACTCTGCGGCTCTGAAAGGAGGTAAACGCGAGAGGGACGAGAACATGCACGCCAAACATGGGAGGGAAGGGAGGTGGGCGTATTGAGAGAAGTGTGGCGCGGCAGAGTATCCCGCGTGTGCGTGCCGTGTCCGCGTGTCTTTTGTCATTTTTCATCGCAATATAGTGCCGTTAAGCGGCCCTCGAGGTGGAGCGAGAGAGAGAGAGAGAGAGAGAGAGAGAGAGAGAGGAGGGGGCATATATTTCTCATACTCGGGATAGGCCCGGGTGTGAATCAAAATGGCTGCATATATTTCACTCTGCCTCCGGCCCGCCGCTCGGGCCATTCGCCGTCATCAATGAGTGCGTGATCGGCGCCATGGCGTTATGCGTTGCGTCGTCGGGGCCATCTGTCTTTCATGATGAATAATGCGTTTCATGCAAATTGTCCGTCAGCAAAAGCGCCCCCCCCCCCTTTTCCCCGCCGAATCCTTTTCCCTGTCGGAGCGGAGCGGGGCGGGAGAGTGTGAATGCGTGTGCGACAAACGGAGTGAAAGAATGCCGTAGGTTTTGTCACACGTTTGAAAGCATATTACTGTAACACGAATTGTCACACTATTTTTTAAGATCATTTTAAGACCAATAACGGCACGCATTTTTCAGTGGTAAAATTTACTGGAGCACCGCTGTGAAAAATATTTTCGTAATATTGCAACCGATAACATTTGTTGTAATTTTTATTTACGAAATATTTTGTAAATTTGCAACAACCCAATCTCGCTTGTAATACCGATAAATTTCAAGTCGATACAAAGTGCTTCTAAATTCACACTTCCAAAATGTAGTTTTACGACACACATTCATGGGAAATTTTCCCGTAAAAACAAACTACCATTTTCACCGACGTCCTCCCTTTCAAGTCTGTTCCCGACGATCTTTCAAAGCCCCAAACTTTGGTCCAGATCGGGGGACTTATCCCGCGCTGGATGCTGCTGGGAGGCGCCTGCGAGGCGGGCAGTCCCGTTGCGCTCTCGTGCGCGGCGGGCGTGCCTACCCCGCCGACTGCAGGCGCTCGCGACCCGCCTCGCTCACAGCCCCGCCTGCTTCTTTGCCCTCACAGAGCCCGAGACGGACATCATCGGCGGCCCCAACCTGTACATCCACGAGGGCAGCACCATCAACCTCACGTGCGTCGTCAAGTTTGCCCCCGAGCCGCCCAGCTCCGTCATCTGGAGCCACAACCACGGGGTAAGTGCGTGGGTACCGTGCACAAAGTACTCAGGGCTATTCAAGTTCGCTTCCGTGCCTGGTGCTGATGCGTTAGCCTCTACGACCAATCTTTCGTTGTCACTTAATGGCAGATTTTCAATTACGAAACTAATTTCATTTTTTTGTGCGTCGACCCGAGTGGAGAGTGATGTGGGAAGGTGCGAGTCGGGTCGGCGCGCGCGGGGCCGCTGTGCGGCTGGTGGTGGTGGTGGTGGTGCGGGCCTGCCCTGCCGCGCAGAAAAGCCGCTTATTCAAATGTGGCCAACTGTCAAACTAATCAACTCTGTCGAAGCGAAGTGGAGGAAAGGGGAAAGGAGAGGCTGTTGAGGCCCTGCTGGAGCCTTGCTATGAGCCTTGCTAGAGCCTTGCTAGAGCCTTGCTACAGCCTTGCTACAGCCTTGCTACAGCCTACAGCCTTGCTACAGCCTACAGCCTTGCTACAACCTTGCTACAGCCTTACTAGACCCTTGGCTGGAGCCTTGCTGGAACCTTGCTAGAGCCTTGCTATAGCCTTGCTATAGCCTTGCTATAGAGCCTTGCTATAGAGCCTTGCTATAGAGCCTTGCTATAGAGCCTTGCTATAGAGCCTTGCTATAGAGCCTTGCTATAGAGCCTTGCTGAAGCCTTTGCCGTAGCCTTGCCGGAGCCTAGCCGGAGCCTTGCTGGAGCCTGCAGCCTGCGCAAGGCCCTACTGCTTCGCCGCGGCCCGGCTGGGCACAGCAGCAGAGAGGGTCGGGGAGATCAAAATTCAAAATTGTGTCGGATTAAATCGACTTGTATTTTTTTCCCCTTGAAGTAATAACTGAAAACAAGGATTACTGTCCATGATGGTTGTGCTAGGAGTCAGACATGCCTTCTGATGAAATAACACAACTGTGTTAACAAAGGCGCCACGACATTCTGCTTCAAGACCGACTGGCGATGCTCTGTAACGCATACTTCCCCTATCTTTTAATGCACTTGTGATTGTCAAGATTGCCGGTCTCCCTGAGCCTTGTGTTCTTCGGTCGGCAGGTCATCAACTTCGACTCTCCTCGTGGCGGCATCAGCCTGGTGACGGAGAAGGGCCCCGTGACGTCGAGCCGGCTGCTGATCCAGAAGGCGGGGCCCTCTGACGACGGCGACTACACTTGCGACCCGGCCAGCGCCAACCCGGCCACGGTCCGAGTGCACATCCTCAACGGTGAGGGTCGGGGAAGGGGTGGGTAGGGCTGTTCGATATCACGATATTTCGATATCGGTACGATATTGTCCGCGGTATTGAGGGCTCGATATTGGCCCCCCATATCGATTTATCGCACTGATAAACTAAGTGTTCAACTGCTCAACACTTGTAAGTGTTGAACTGCAAGTTACATACTTGCAAGTGCGCAACTGTAAGTTGAATGAGGAAGTTGCCCGATAAGAGGAACAAGAAGAAGGTAGCACTGAGAAGGTGGCGTGGCGTAGCGCCGTCCCTAAACAAAGCAGAAGATGAACGACAGTCTAGCAGAGGTTAGCATGCGTGTCGGTAGATTTCAAACAGTTCAGAACGGGTTTATGCATCTAGCACCTTTGTACCACCTATACTCAAGTATATTACGACAGTTGAGTCATTATCATTGAGTTAAAATAGTACCAACAATGCAATATGTCCGTACACTAACCTAAACAAACGACACCGGGACGGTTTAGAAGATCGTATAAACTTACTTTTCCGGAGCCAAACTTTACAGAAGCACCTTTTGACACAAGATTGTTACGCCGGTCTAGTATGGACCCAATTTTTCTTTACAAATTATACAAAACTTGATTTATGATTTATGATCACACATCCACTTGCGACAAAACACAGTATGGTCGCCGGCGTTCTGCTTTGTTTAGGGACGGCGCTACGCCACGCCACCTCACCTCCTCAGCGCTACCTTCTTCTTGTTCCTCTTATCGGGCAACTTCCTCATACTCGGTAGGTGTGCACTTGCAAGTGTGTAACTCCCCGGTTGAGCACTTCCGACACAGTGAGCATTCAATCTAGGGAACTGTTCAACCGAGGAGTTGCACACCTACCCGAGTTGAACACTTGTAAAGTCTAAGGCTTGCACAGTTGCAAGTATTCAATTTGCAATTGCACACTTACAAGTGTTGAGTAGTTGAACACTTACTTTATCAGTGCGAGGTGCGAGGTTGATCGATTCGACGATGTATTACGGTATATTGGCTTTTTTCAGACATATCGTCATCGAGCCCCAAAATGGGTCGAACGTGGTTTGCTATTGCGAAATTGTCGACATTACCGAGACTCGATCCGATGTTCGATACAGGATCGATATCGTCGCGCGATATCAAAATCTGGATATCGCACAGTCCTAGGAGGGGGAGGGGGAAGCTCCAGCGGGGCTTCTCAGCGGCCGGGGGGGGGGGGCGTCTACATGAAGCGAATGAAATATGTGTTCAAGTTCCTTTCACAACAATAACATTCCCTCGGCTAGCGTAAAGGGAATGCCCGGAGCAGACGTAAAGAAATTCTTATTTCCTGTGTATGGGGCGAGAAAGTGTCGGGGGGCGGGGGATTTGGGAACGGAGGGGGGCTCTCTCTCTCTCTCTCTCTCTCTCTCTCTCTCTCCCTCTCTCTCTCTCCCTCTCCCTCCCTCTCTCTCTCTCTCTCTCTCTCTCTCTCTACCTCTCTCTCTACCTCTCTCTCCCTCCCTCCTTTCTCATCTCTGTCTCTGTCTCTCTCTCTTCGCCGACGCCGACGCGTCCGGCGGCGTCGTTGTCCGGAGTGTGAAAACACGGGGTGTCAGGGAAATTGAGGCGACAGCTGCCAGCATCGGCTCTAGGGAGGGCGGCGTGGCGGGGCGGGGCGGCGCACTGCCCAGACTCACAACGCCGCGCCACCACGGCAGACTCACATGTCGGAGCGGAGCGTACGGCGGGGGAAATCTTGGCGACTGGCGTGCTTCCAGTCGTGTGTCGAGATCGTGGTCGAGGTCGGGG